GGTCCCAGTTGATATTACCAACCAAGACTAAAGTCCCTCCTGCCTGGGCGCCCCGCAACGGCCGCGTGGAGCACCTTCTGTCCCGGTTCGTAAGCGAACCGGGACTACAGGTTTTGGGCTTTAGTCCCGGTTCCAGAACCGGGACAAATGGGTCTCTGGAACAGGGACAAATGTGCCTTTTTCTACTAGTGGATCGTCACACTGAAGACCTATAGCGTGTATGCTCGTGCACTATGCACACTCTTTTAAGAATTAATGTTTCAAAATGTTATTCATCCGCAAGTTAATGAGTTATAAAAATACCGTGCATATATGCCAGCCTTGATTTAAGTATGTATTTCAAGAATATATATGCAACGCATCTATCGCCAATGTATCTTTGCATTCGTGCATGATGACCATGTATTGTGAGGTCACTACTGCTAAATAGTATATTGGTCAAGATTCTGATCACACGATTAGGCTTAGTTAGTTGATAAAGACAGACATACCTATCATCGAAAAGAGACCTGATTCTTTCATTTTCTTTGGGAAAGAGATACGATTCAATCATAACAATGACAGCTCAAAGAATGTGAGGTCCAATCATTATGGAAGATTACGTGCTATGATGATCGATGGCTTTGCTTATATGTTTATGTTTATCGTTGATTATCCCTTTGTGTCACTGACAGTGGGCTTTGTAGTTCCACTTTAGCAGACCGTTTATAGCAATTAGCTTGTAGGAATGGAGTTGTTGACACCTAGCATCCAGTTAGTAAAGAAGATGCTTGGGTTGGGGGCCCAAAAGTGGCACACATCATCCATCATTTTCGTCTATAGAACTATTGAGACTGAGAAAAGAGAAGGGAGTTTTTTTTGGGGGGAGTTGTATGTGTTAAGCATGGAACATATGTAATATGATCTAGCAGAAAAGTTTTGGCTTGCTCATGGGATGAGATGCTGAGTGTAACAAAAACTTTTCACCGTATATAAGGAATAAATACGAAGAAAACTAAAATGTCACTTGTCACTATATGTATTTATTTTTTGAGGGGACACTTTGTCACTGTATGTGCCATGTAGAAACTGCTGATGTCTCCCATGGGCAAACCTACAGAAAAAAAAGATATTGTTTTTGTAGAATTAATAAAAAATAAATAAATAACTTGTTGACGTCTATAGAACTATTGAGACT